GGCCATTCTGTTGATGATTCTTCTGTTACAATTCCTAAAGCAACAGCACATTTTAGTAGGTATGAAGTCTAATATATCACATACATATAATATGGCATGAGTGTATTGTAATGTATGGTTCTATACCTGTTACTTTGAAGCACCAAGGAACTCCACCAATTTTATCATCCCAGCAGCAACCACTACCAATACATTCAGCAGGACTTTTACCTGATGGCCAACAGTTAACTCGTAGTAGTGGATCTACCAAATCACACAATGCTGTGTCAACTGTAGGCTTAAATGTAGTTACTTCAGGCCATTCTGTTGATGATTCTTCTGTAACAATTCCTAAAGCAACAGCACATTTAAGTAGGTATGAAGTCTAATATATCACATACATATAATATGGCATGAGTGTATTGTAATGTATGGTTCTATACCTGTTACTTTGAAGCACCAAGGAACTCCACCAATTTTATCATCCCAGCAGCAACCACTACCAATACATTCAGCAGGACTTTTACCTGATGGCCAACAGTTAACTCGTTGTAGTGGATCTACCAAATCACACAATGCTGTGTCAACTGTAGGCTTTAATGTAGTTACTTCAGGCCATTCTGTTGATGATTCTTCTGTAACAATTCCTAAAGCAACAGCACATTTAAGTAGGTATGAAGTCTAATATATCACATACATATAATATGGCATGAGTGTATTGTAATGTATGGTTCTATACCTGTTACTTTGAAGCACCAAGGAACTCCACCAATTTTATCATCCCAGCAGCAACTACTACCAATGCATTCAGCAGGACTTTTACCTGATGGCCAACAGTTAACTCGTTGTAGTGGATCTACCAAATCACACAATGCTGTGTCAACTGTAGGCTTTAATGTAGTTACTTCAGGCCATTCTGTTGATGATTCTTCTGTAACAATTCCTAAAGCAACAGCACATTTAAGTAGGTATGAAGTCTAATATATCACATACATATAATATGGCATGAGTGTATTGTAATGTATGGTTCTATACCTGTTACTTTGAAGCACCAAGGAACTCCACCAATTTTATCATCCCAACAGCAACCGCTAGCAATACATTCAGCAGGACTTATACCTGATGGCCCACAGTCAACTCGTTGTTGTGGATCTACCAAATCACACAATGCTGTGTCAACTGTAGGCTTAAATGTAGTTGCTTCAGGCCATTCTGTTGATGGTTCTTCTGTTACAATTCCTAAAGCAACAGCACATTTAAGTAGGTATGAAGTCTAATATATCACATACATATGATATTTCAGAAGTGTATTGTAATGTATGGTTCTATACCTGTTACTTTGAAGCACCAAGGAACTCCACTAATTTTATCATCCCAACAGCAACCGCTAGCAATACATTCAGCAGGACTTATACCTGATGGCCCACAGTCAACTCGTTGTTGTGGATCTACCAAATCACACAATGCTGTGTCAACTGTAGGCTTAAATGTAGTTGCTTCAGGCCATTCTGTTGATGGTTCTTCTGTTACAATTCCTAAAGCAACAGCACATTTAAGTAGGTATGAAGTCTAATATATCACATACATATGATATTTCAGAAGTGTATTGTAATGTATGGTTCTATACCTGTTACTTTGAAGCACCAAGGAACTCCACTAATTTTATCATCCCAACAGCAACCGCTAGCAATACATTCAGCAGGACTTATACCTGATGGCCCACAGTCAACTCGTTGTTGTGGATCTACCAAATCACACAATGCTGTGTCAACTGTAGGCTTAAATGTAGTTGCTTCAGGCCATTCTGTTGATGGTTCTTCTGTTACAATTCCTAAAGCAACAGCACATTTAAGTAGGTATGAAGTCTAATATATCACATACATATGATATTTCAGAAGTGTATTGTAATGTATGGTTCTATACCTGTTACTTTGAAGCACCAAGGAACTCCACTAATTTTATCATCCCAACAGCAACCGCTAGCAATACATTCAGCAGGACTTATACCTGATGGCCCACAGTCAACTCGTTGTTGTGGATCTACCAAATCACACAATGCTGTGTCAACTGTAGGCTTTAATGTAGTTACTTCAGGCCATTCTGTTGATGGTTCTTCTGTTACAATTCCTAAAGCAACAGCACATTTAAGTAGGTATGAAGTCTAATATATCACATACATATAATATTGCATAAATGTATTGTAATGTATGGTTCTATACCTGTTACTTTGAAGCACCAAGGAACTCCACCAATTTTATCATCCCAACAGCAACCACTCGCAATACATTCAGCAGGACTGATACCTGATGGCCCACAGTCAACTCGTTGTTGTGGATCTACCAAATCACACAATGCTGTGTCAACTGTAGGCTTAAATGTAGTTGCTTCAGGCCATTCTGTTGATGGTTCTTCTGTTACAATTCCTAAAGCAACAGCACATTTTAGTAGGTATGAAGTCTAATATATCACATACATATGATATTTCAGAAGTGTATTGTAATGTATGGTTCTATACCTGTTACTTTGAAGCACCAAGGAACTCCACTAATTTTATCATCCCAACAGCAACCGCTAGCAATACATTCAGCAGGACTTATACCTGATGGCCCACAGTCAACTCGTTGTAGTGGATCTACCAAAGTACACAATGATGGTCCATCATCTACTATAGCTACTGCTATTTCCGGAACCAATAAACAGATTATTGAAATCATAAAACACGATATGGAAAATAACGACATGTTTACAGATATTAGTATTAGAAAGATGAACCCCTGGTCTCCCAAATTATGATCTAACACACAAAGCAATAATGTTTAATAGCCCCCCATTGAATATTTCACTCATACCAAACCCATTAGAATATCCTTGACATAAGATATGGTTAAGAATTTAAATATTGAAATAGATTATTTCAATACTTACGTTTTGAATGTGATCCAGATTTCAACAACAAATTTAATAAACATCCAAAAATAAGATTTACAGCAGAGGACTCCATTATTGTCTAATCAATCATAGGATCATAGTTTTCAGTGGTGTAAACAGCCAAGACTTTTGTGTTACCTCTATTCATATAAGAACTCAATTAAGGTTATATATTTTATGCCCAAGTTAAACACAATGACATAATGCACTTGAATGTCTCAATATGTTTAGAGATATATAGACAGAAGTAAGGAGATAATTTGATGATTCATAGCACTCAAAGCACTCATGTATTTTCTACTTCTTCATTGTGTTTATGGCCCTTATAATTTATCAAGATTATCCTCTAAATTCACACATAAGACATAAAACTCTTAAAATAGTACTAAACTTATGTCTATTTTGAATGTTCATCCAGTCTAAGAATGTAAAATAATCAGATTGTCATGTCACATGGGAAGGATGTCAGAAATATCAAAAGCACTCAAATACCGTTGGCCCGATTCTGTTCATATTTTGTACACATATACCCTATGGGGGTAGAAATTCTGCTCGAAAGCCGATATTCAAAATGGCCGCTCATTTCAAAATGGCGGCCATTTTAGTGTCGAATTTACAGTAATTTAGGTGCAATATGTAAAACTGTAATAGCAATATGTTTTAGATGTAAAAAAATTATATAGGACACTAATAAAGCTAGAAATTTAGATATTAAAGAAGCACATGGCAGCCAATTTGAAAAATGGCGGCCTTTACTCGTTATTTTACGATTTCTGCTGTAACTCGAAAAGTAGTGGAGCTATTTTGTTCATATTTGGTATGTGAATATTATAAGCATGGCACATGGTCTAATGACACTTTTGGTAGAAGGCGGCCATTTTGAAAAATGGCGGCCATTTTGAAAAATGGCCACCATTTTAACGTATTTTACTATAACTCGAAAAGTAGTGGAGAGATTTTGTTCATATTTGGTATGTGAATACTATAAGCCTGACACACTGTCCTATGACACTTTTGGTAGAAGGTGGCCATTTTGAAAAAAATTTTGAAAATGGCCACCATTTTAACATATTTAATATAACTCGAAAAGTAGTGAAGCGATTTTGTTCATATTTGGTATGTGAATACTATAAGCATGGCACACTGTCTAATGACATTTTTGGTAGAAGGCGGCCATTTTGAAAAATGGCCGCCATTTTAACGTATTTTACTATAACTCGAAAAGTAGTGGAGCGATTTTGTTTATATTTGGTATGTAAATACTATAAGCACGGCACACTTTATAATGGCACTTTTGGTAGAAGGTGGCCATTTTGAAAAATGGCCACCATTTTACCGTATTTTACTATAACTTGAAAAGTAGTGGAGGGATTTTGTTCATTTTTGGTATGTGAATACTATAAGCATGGCACATGGTCTAATGACACTTTTGGTAGAAGGCGACCATTTTGTAAAATGGCTGCCATTTTTGCTATATACTTTGTTTGTAAAAATGCCCTCCATGGCTGTTCGATGGGATTTGCTACGCTTTGGCGTTGCCGTTGTTCTGGTTACTTATTTATTGGTCTCTTGAAGTTCTATGACAATATGCAAATAAATAAATATCTGCATGCCATGCATAAATTGTTTTCTCAACAAGTCATAACATTGTCATTTACTTATATTTTACATGTTATACATGTATTATGAACTTCCAATCACTTTGTGTACCTTACATTTAGGTCTTTGTTTTACAGAGGGGAAGGTTATAGTTTCACTGCCAACTGTAAAAATACAGTTTTGTTGATCTGGAGATTAATGATGAAATCATTTTTAAAGACTAAAAACAATTTGTTCTGAGTTGACTGCTTTGGTTCCATATCTCATATACAGGATTGCCAGTGATTCTGTGATTCCAATTAAATATAAAATATTAAATAAATGGTAAGTAGCTGTTATTGGATATGAAGGAAAAGTCACAATAAATATTATAAAGAGGATTTTCACTATATACTACCAATGTTACTATCCTTGATTTAAAAAGCAGGCTTGTAATAATGACATGGAATTACAATTAAACTCAATTCTTCCAACAAAAAGTTAAGAAGTTGACTCAAGTTTTATATACTGACATCAAATCATCATCCTGATGTCCATGCATTTTTATATAGTCATTACACATAACCATCATCATTTTCCACATTCATATTGACATAGCTTGGCTGATTATAAATTTGAACCGGTGAATGTCCATATGCATGATTTATCCCTTCAGACTCTTTACCCTCAGTAACACTTCTTTGCATGCTTGTAGATGTTTGTGGTGCTTGGCAGTGTTTCTCATTTGCTTTTAGGATATCTGTTTCCTTTTGTACAATATGAGCAAATCTGGGTCTTGCATGTGGGTCATTGTTCCAGCAGTTCCACATGATTTGATATCTAAACATTCATTGTCAAATTATGTTAACCAAAACATTAACATGCAAAATGTCACCTACTGTCACTTGTTACAGACACTTGATGCCAACCATCAAACACCATCCAATAAAAAAAGTTAAAGACCAGTTCTGGTGGTGACATAAAATACAATAATTCATATACTATGTTACACATTATCCTTCATTTTAAACTACAATGTTTTGACTTTAATTTGACTCTGCTTACAATATGCATGTACTAAGGAACTTACATTTCACTTGGAAGACGTGCTGGTTTATCTAGACGATGTCCTGATAACACATATGACTTTATAGCATATGAATCCACATGAGCATATGGTGTCCCACCTCTAGTGAACACCTCCCACATAAGAACACCATAAGACCACTGAAATAACAAGTGAATCATATCATACATAAGCACATTAGCCAAAGAAAACCCCCAAAAAGTATCAAGAATTAGTTGGAAAAATAAACATATAGGGGTATAGTTGGTAATTAGAAAAGAAATCTAAACATCAACATGTTACTGCATGATAAAATATCTTAAATCTGCATATCATGACTTGGCCATAAACAGTAGGTTATAAATGCTTGGACTGTTACCACATCAGACATGCTGCTATATTTCCCATCCCTCAGACTTTCGGGAGCCAACCACCTGACAGGAAGTGGGCGAGATAGGGTTGTGTCCATATAGTAGGTATCAGAATAGATGTCCCTTGACAGACCAAAGTCCGCTATCTTAATGGTCAAGTCTGATGACACCCTAAGAACATTGAGTCAAAAGTACTTAAAATTGAAATGTGACTTCATGATTATGAAATTGTCAAATTTTATATCGGAGGATCTAATCCTTTTTTTGTAACTCCAGATTATATGGAATGCTTATGCAACAAAAAGCTAGTTGACCTGATGTTTGATTAGAGATCAAAAATAAGGTTACTCACATACAGTTTCTGGCTGCTAAATCCCTATGCACAAATCTTTTAAAAGCAAGATATTCCATCCCACTGGCTACTTGAAGACAGAAATTGAACAAGTCCCTCATAGTAAATACCTAGAACATGAAGTTTATAAACTCATATTTTACAGTTGATTTAAAAGTACAACTGTTCAATTTTTGGAATCTTGAATTTCTCTAAGTAAAGTTTATAATACAAAGGTTATGTATAACTCAATGATTATCAGTATAACCATATAGGCTCACCTGCTTTTCATCTCTTACATATGTCTTTAAATCTTTGTTAGCCATATGAGGGAGAACAACATATGGGATATCTTTGTCAAGGGCTACTCCAATGAGGTTTAGAACATTGGGATGCTCAAAATCCTTCATAACCAAAGCCTCCTTCATGAAGTCTGAGAGATCATTTTCAGAGCAATTTGACTTTTTGATAGTCTTTATGGCTACTGCTTGATCTTGTGCAACTCCTTTGTACACTACACCAAACTGACCTACAGTATGAAAAATCTGTTAAGTTAATTAATTGGTTCACCACTCTTTTCCTGAATGTAAGTTAAGTTTATCTGGGATGATATAATCTCCTTATTTTGTATGCCCATTATTGTGTAGAGAATTGTAGTCACATTTTGACAAAGGTTCCTTACTTACATTTTCAATAATTTCTATAAATCCTTTTCTTGAAAGTCAAGTCTTAAACATTCAAATGTTTTGGCGATTGTAGCATTCAGATATGTCATTTATGAATTACCTTGGCCCAGAATTTCTTCGATCTCAATGTCTTTGTATTCCAGCTTTCTTTTTCCAAGCATAGTTACTAATGTATCATCAAGGGCTGATAACTTAATACGACTGTCCACTAAAAATGATTTATTATAAATCAATTCATTTTCATTTTTTTCAACCTACATATGGATTAAAGAGTAATCAAAGAATTGTATAATTAAAAATACTTAAAATAAATTTAATTAAAAATTGAGATGTGAGTCATCGGCTTATTTCACCATGATTGAGTGCCGTTATCAATCTATGTACAAACTTACCATATTCCCCATCATCCCCCAAAACTGCCATGTTAATAAACTCTGTTGCTTTGGACTTATTTAGTATTTTGCGACATCTTCTTACAATGCATACTGTTACCACAACTAAGATAACAAATGCAGCAGCTGACAAAGATATGATCCAAACCATGGGCACATAAATGACATGGCCAACTGAATATTTTCTTCCAATTTCACCAACTTGTGCCTTAAACAATAAAAAACATAGTGAGGCTTCATCAATTGATCCATTTATTTTTGTTGTACTGTTATATTCACTGATTTATTTCATTAAAGCAATTATAAATCATCTGAAATATATCTTCTCACATTTTGAGTCATAGTATATGGTAAAATGATTGATAATGTACCATGGACCTGAAGATTGTGGCGTACCTCATGGTTTCAGTGTACAAATGACATAAATATATGAGATATGGAAACAATTTTATATTTGATATGGAAACAATTTTATATTTGATATAGAAATAATTTTAAAACATGCATATTACCAATGTGAAAAGTGAGAAATTTGGTCCTGCTTCAAGTTCTCCATATCCTGGTTGTTCTTCAGGTAGCTTACATAACAGCTCTTTTGCAGTGAGCAGTTGTACTTCACACTCTCCATCACCAACTTTGACACGCATATCTTCTGCAGTTACACCCCCAGAGGGAGTTATCACCTAAATAAATTGATCATGTATACACTAATCTCTCCAGCATTAGAGTAATCTAATGATTCTTGTTGAATTATAAAATGTTTCCTTGGTAGAAATTTAGTTGCACCTTGACCAAAGGAGAGAAGTTTGTTGAAGATTTGAGGAGATATTTGTTTGATAATTTAAAAAAAAAATACAAGAGATAATTTGTCATTAATATTGTGTAAAATAGTCTCACCGGTATTGATAATGTCATTATCCGAAACCAAGTGTTGGCGTAAAATATTTCTTTCATTTTGCCAAGTTCAAGGTCTGGAAAAATCTGTAATTTGGTATTGGTGTTATTAGGGAGAGCTTCTGTCAGATTGTTAAAGGACTTGACACCATCTAGTTGAAGTCCACTCCAAAAGTTTGTTTTTTGAAGTGTTGTTGTGATATTTTCTCCAGTTTCATTTGCTATTCTCATGACAACTTCACTAAGGTCTGGCACTGGGCATGTCATCAATGTCAAATTCTGAGGAGTGCAGACCTAGAAGTAAACATTTTGGTATACTTATACATGTACATATACATAGTTGAAAAGAGAATTACAGTACATTGTTTTATTAAAACGAATTGATTTTTCAAGAAATAACAATACCTGCTTAATATCTGTGTTAACAAATGTATCTTCATATTGGATTTTCACAGTCATCTCAGGATCACTGACAGATGTGAGAAAATTCCCAATTATCCTTATGTTAACTCCACCACTGAAAGGCAGAAATGGTTGTTTCATAATTGAAATATAATTCCTAGTACACATACAATATTATATAATTTGTTAATTTAAAGCCTGATTTATTTTGATGAATTTCAGATGATCTCTTTTAAATTTTACATCACAACATTCAATATATTATTGATAATGAACAATTCTATAGATACTTAACATATTTTCTACAAAGACATATTTTGCAACTTCTGTTGTAAGATCTGTTCATTATTTTTCAAAATTTTCCATCTTGGCAAGGATGAATTTCTTTGTAGTTAAATAACACTTATTTATCCCACGATTAATGTGTTATCTGTACAATAACAGCTATTGATATTTCTGATATTATTGAAATCCGTGTGATATTTTCCAGAAAATCGTTTATCAAACTCATATGCATGTGATATCGTTTATCTCACGCATATCCGTGTGATATCACATTTGCATTTCGCGCCACAATATTGTTGGAAATTAGGTCAGATAATTTATTCCCTTTTGAGAAAATAGGTCCGTTGATTTATTCTCTTTAAGTTTCATTGGTGTATTGAATTACGATTGTGTATATAATTATCCCATCGAACGAAGTTCGGAGGGATATAGGGAACGCCTCCGTCCGTCTGTCCGTCCGTCCGTCCGTCTGTCCGTCCGTCTGGGCAATAACTCAAATACCGTTGGCCCGATTTTGTTCATATTTTGTACACATATACCCTATGGGGGTAGGAGTTCTGCTCGAAAGCCAATTTTCAAAATGGCCACTCATTTCAAAATGGCGGCCATTTTAGTGCCGATTTTACAGTAATTTAGGTGCAATATGTAAAACTGTAATAGCAATATGTTTTTAGTGTAAAAAAATTATAAAGGACATTAATAAAGCTACAAATGTAGATATTAAAAAACCACATGGCAGCCATCTTGAAAAATGCGGCCTTAACTCGTTATTTTACGATTTTTGCTGTAACTCGAAAAGTAGTGGAGCGATTTTGTTCATATTTGGTATGTGAATACTATAAACATTGCACATTGTCTAAAGACACTTTTGGTAGAAGGCGGCCATTTTGAAAAATGGCCGCCATTTTAACGTATTTTACTATAACTCGAAAAGTAGTGGAGAGATTTTGTTCATATTTGGTATGTGAATACTATAAGCATGGCACACTGTCCTATGACACTTTTGGTACAAGGCGGCCATTTTGAAAAAAAAATTTGAAAAATGGCCGCCATTTTAATGTATTTTACTATAACTCGAAAAGTAGTGGAGCGATTTTGTTCATATTTGGTATGTGAATACTATAAGCATGGCACACTGTCCTATGACACTTTTGGTACAAGGCGGCCATTTTGAATTTTTTTTTTGAAAAATGGCCGCCATTTTAACGTATTTTACTATAACTCGAAAAGTAGTGGAGCGATTTTGTTCATATTTGGTATGTGAATACTATAAGCAGGGCATACTGTCCTATGACACTTTTGGTAGGAGGTGGCCATTTTGAAAAATGGCAGCCTTTTTAACGTATTTTACTATAACTCGAAAAGTAGTGGAGCGATTTTGTTTATATTTGGTATGTGAATACTAAAAGCATGGCACACTGTCTAATGACACTTTAGGTAGTAGGCGGCCATTTTGAAAAATGGCCACCATTTTTACGTTTTTTACTATAACTTGAAAAGTAGTGAAGCGATTTTGTTCATATTTGATATGTGAATACTCACGAGCCTTGCACACTGTCTCATGACACTTTAGGTAGTAGGCGGACATTTTAAAAAATGGCTGTCATTTTTACATTTTTTACTATAACTCGAAAAGTAGTGGAGAGATTTTGTTCATATTTGATATGTGAATACTCTAAGCATGGCACATTGTCTAATAAAACTTTGGGGTGTTTTACAAGTACATGTGTGCGATTTTTCAAAAATTTTATAGGTGGCTACTTAAGAGTATATTATTTCTTCTGATGACAACTTGGCTAGTGAGCAACCATTTTGAAAATGGTGGCCTTTCTGGTGTGTTTTTATGATATTTGCTGTATATTTCGTTTGTAAAAATGCCAGCCATTTCTGTTCGATGGGATTCGCTACGCTTTGGCGTTGCCGTTGTTCTGGTTTGATTAGAAGGCTGCTAACTAACGATTAAAAATGGTATTTATGACGAACTATATCATGTTATTTACTTTTAATTGTTAAAATAAAGTGTTTCAAATATTCAATTGATATTCTAATTTCTATTTTATATTGTCTGTCCTGGAAATTGGATCAGAACATCACAAGGTGATTGTAATCATGGGATAAACCCAATATCACATAATTTCTCTTGATATCATTTTATCGCCTCGTAGATATCAAATATCAACACTCATTCGCTTCGCTCACTCGTGTTGATATTTGATATCAACTCGGCGATAAAAATGATATCACTCAAAATGATGTGATATTCTGTATTTAACAATCACCCTAGTGTATATATTTTATATTTACCTGACTGGGGCTCTGTTGTTCAGCATGTCAGTTACCACTGGGTTCTCCATGTAAGCATATGTTCTGTTCACATTGTCAAGAGCGTTGATTTCTATTCCATAATCCAGATAAACTGTAATATTTCCTTGACTGATCACTGACGATTGTGTAGCACAGGTAACTATAGATGTCATGTTGTCTGACAGAGTCGTATCACTTAAATATACATTGTTGGATAATCAGGTGGATGTTTATCTCCAAATCAACCTCTGTTTTTACATGTGAAGTTCACTTAAGCTTACCTAGCTTCTGTCTATATAGGTCAGAATTACCTTCTTCCATTTTTTAATATTTAAAACTTGAACCAGTTATAATATTTTACATGCAATATCAACTCTGAAGAACTTACCAGCAAGCAGTGATAAAATCTTTCTGAGATGTATTATTCTCACCTTGTGATATTACATGGTCTGCCCACTGCATCAATCATAACTGATGTTGTATCCAATCTGGCATGCTGCAGTTCTAAATTTATTGTGGTTCCTCCTGCCTTTGGTCCAAAGTTTGGATAAATGTATGCTATGTAAGGAGTCTAAAATTCAATTATGAAATAATTTGATGAATGTGTATTGTGCCCTTATTAAAAAGTGACCTTAATCAAACAGTTTTAGCATTTTATGTTTGTACGGGTTAATGAAGTTAATGAAAACACAGAATTAATCCTGTATCAAAAATAGAGGAATGAAAAAGTATATGTGCTTCCATTATCTCGAACTAATTGGGTGTTTTTAAATAGGGAATAAAACTAACACCCCAGTCACATTTCCTACAGTGACCATACTGTATATCATTTCTGAGGTCAGATACTTTTGAATTTCTGAGGTCAGATACTTTTGCAGTCACATTTCCATGGCAGCCGCATGGCGAGTTTTGCATTTCTGTTGATAAACGTTAATTTTATTTAGATCAGTAAAAAACATAAATGTTATTTGTACATCAAACAGTATACATATTGTGTTGTTTTTACAGCAAAAATATGACCAAAATTGTACTAAAAACTGTTTCCAAAGGTACTATACCAACCAAACCCTATAGCAGACGCAATTCAAGCGTAAGCCTGATGTACGGCCACCGTTGGACATTGCTGCGGTCTGGCAATGGCCTGTTGATTTCTTCGGGTACCGCAGAAATGAACAAATTCCGAGTTATAAATCCGAGTTATAATTTCTACGGCTACCCTGCGGCCTGTAAAAAACTGAATACGCTGTATGGAGACCGCAAGACCACCATAGTTTTCCTATGCTCGCCGCAGAAATTCACTGATTCAATTGATCTGTGGTTGACGTACGGCTGTCGTGCGACAAATGTGACTGGGATGTAATGCTAATGAAGAAGAAACAATTTAATAACTAACAAATGTGCAATTCGATATATGCTTTGCCCCAGGATAAGATAATGCATATATCCCATATCTGTCCACAGGACATCTTGTGCATGGATGCTTCCCAACACTGTCCTTGTAGAATCCACGTTGACAAGGAACACACTCAGAGTGACCTACAGGCTCATACCCTCTTCCACAGTCCAGTACATTTGAAGCAGTTGTTGTTGTGTATGTTGCTATATTAAAGTAGAATGGTCAATTTTTAAAATCATTATTCCATATGTTTGTAAGTTTTAAGCTCACAACAATTTTACATTGTTTTACCTTGTGCTATAATGGAGAGCTTTAGGCTTGAATCTGCAAGTATATTTGTGTTTGTTGCTTTCTGGTAACATGTGTGTATATTTAAAACAGGACTTCAAACTAATGGAAAAGTTTATTTGCAGTGTAGCATGTGTAAAAAGGAAAAAAATTGTGATATACTATGCATACAAAAAGGAGGGAAAGCCCCAGAGTTTAAAGATGACAGACATAATTACGTCTCTTGCTTACCACCTTTGTTCGTTCGAATTTTCATCGGCTTTTGACCAATCAGCGACGATGTCATCTCAATACAGATTTACATTATAAGCGTATGTCATCTTTGAACCCTGGTGTTTCTCCCCCTCTGATGCATACATGTACACATACAGTATAGTTATGTGATATACCTGTAACATTGTCTACTGAAGATACCAATATTGTACTTTCTGTCCTTTTTACTGTCGTATTGCTTTCAGTCCATTCTGCTTCTATGTGAAGACATAAGTGTATATTTAGAATAGGGTATTAAAAGGAAAATATATAGTTATGTGGAATATTTGATGAACACTTGTGTATTGTGGGTAACATGCCTGTGAAGCATCATTGAAACGGGTGTACTAGGATATGCAACATTCTATATTCTGTGCATAATGCAGTGTATGTGACATACCTGTTACATTGAAGCACCATGGAACTCCAACTGAGTCATTAAAACAGCAACCACTAGATATACATTCAACCTCTGATGCTCCTGGTGGCCCACATTGAACTCGTTCTTGTGGATTCACCAAATCACACAATGCTGGGTCCACTGTAGGTACCAACGTTGCATTTTCTATAAATATATGCATAAGTACATTTATTTACTGTTTGAGCTGAAAATGAGACAATAGTAACTACATGTACATGAATGTAAGTCACTGAAATTAAGGATTTGTATATATATTCTTTATTTTATTCATTTGAAAATGTCAAATGTCATTTGTAAACCCTGTACATTGATTGATCTTGTATTATAATAACACATTTTTAGTTTCAGTTTCTTTTAATATTTTAGCTTGATCAAAAATTATAAATAATATTAAAACTTACCTTGGGACTGAGATCCAGATAACATGAGGAAACATACCAAATATCCTAAAAAGATACATAGTTAAGTTTGTACCATTACTTGGCCAGCGCCTAATTTTGACCATAATATTTTTGAAAACATATTACCCAATTTTGACTTTATATATACTATACACTGTATGTGTATAAATGTATATGTAAGAGTACTTTTCAAAATATGTAACTATAAACCTCCTCTTTAAAGAAAAAATGCGAACCAGACTGTATATCAAAGGGCAGCAAAGACAAAAGAAGAGATTGAGTACATGAGAGTTTTAAAAAATGCTCATAGTTTTACAATTTCTTATATTCTCATTGTTCTAATTGCTGCCTATTTTTCTCAAAACAGTCCACAGTTTCTTTTATTTGATTTCTAATGTTATCTGTCCAAATAAATTTAAAAGTAGACACCTTTTTGAAATCTAATGAATGTGGACATCATAAATCTTCTTTAACTGATTAGATATCTCAATTATTGTATTTTTTAATACAGAAAATAAAAGTAGATTTTACACTTTCTATTTTGCTGCCACTTTTAAATCAGTATTTGAAAATTACAAACCTGGTAAAAGTATTTTATAGGAATCCATTTGAAGCTATACGAGCAATGAAAAATATTAATTTTTTTGTAAAATTGATTACAATTCAATGTAATGCTCATTATTGTTAACTGACGACATCCTTATAACTGATATAAACATGTTTCAATGGCTTATCTAACCTTTTAAGATAGACTAGGTCCTGTCATATATAAGGAAGTAACATCAAAAAATAAGGAACTTGATTAGCAAAATAATTAACTTTTCATTAGAGGCCCCAGATGACGCTTAAACCACATTGGCTTATGATGTAGTCTTACCTAATATTATCAAAGTATGATATAAACATTTTTGAACTTTTTAAAAATATTTCAAACATGATAAACACTTTCTATATAGACCAGTAATATTGTCTTATTTTGAAAGTTAAGCATATTTAGAAAAGATATAAATCAGAAAAAATTGATGAATTTTGAAAATAATTATTGCACCCTAAATGACATCACGACGTGACCTGATGACATCGTAAATTTTTAAAAAGCTGTAAAATCTAATTGTTGCATAAAAACGAAATTGAAATTGTTCAAATTATGTAACTTTTACTTAATCTATCCAATGAAGTTGACAAAACAATATGTTTCGCATTGTATAAAGGGTTGTATCATTGATTTTAACTTGGAAAGTTTTAACCATTTTGATTCATAATGTAGTTATACCAAATCAATATCATCAATATCATTCAAGATTAATTAGGAATTTATTTGATAAAATTCAATATATCAACTCATCAAAGAATTCTGACCTATTTGACCAGTTCATTGTACATACATTTTAATATTTAGATGGTACCTTACCTGGAAGAAACAATTTATTCAAATTCATAGTGAAATCAATCCAATTATCCAAATGACATCATATTACAATATGTTTTATTTTGTATAACTTAATCTCATGGCATTCACCTGTTGGCACTTGTGCTCATATAATTATGTGATAATGAAAAATTGGAGGGTGGAGGTCAATAAGATGATCATAAATTTTATGTTTTAATCAAATGTAACATCTTTATAACAAGGTTCTTAAGTTTTTTATCTTAATTAAATATTATAAAAATTCTAACATTATTTTAATCTTATGTCATTTGACTTATTTGACTTTATTTTTTATTTGATACAAGAGTTAAATAATATAAATACCTCCCCATTCTCAAATACATGCTTTATTGGCAGATGTTAAAAACAAGAATGGGGTCAGGGGCAGGCTAGCCTAGGCAAAAATTATTTTTCGGGTTATAGTTGACTTGTGTTGGTTATCTGATACATGTCATCAGAAATGGTGAAATTTTTATAGTCTACAACTTTTTTTAGGATGGTGTTTTTGATGGTTGGTGTTTGGTGGTCAGTGTTCGGTGGTTTGTTATGTAACATATGGCAGTTAGTGGCATTTTACATGTTTATTGCCTTGTTTAATTTTTGGCACTCTTAAAATGCAAAGGTTCATCATTGTGAAAGAAGTATGTATATTTATCCTATGCCAAGTAGAGTTTCAGGAAGATAAGTTGGTAAGATATATTCCGTATCCTGATTTTGAGATTTCCATATCCAGAACCTTCATATCTCCCGCTTCGGTGCGTATCTTCCCACTTCCGGTGCATATCTTCCCGCTTCCGTTAATGCAATAAAATGACTTTGCATATGAATGATTTGTTTATTTTTACACCTTGTACTATTGAAATGGCCATATGCCTCTGAAAACTCTACTTTGTATAGGATAAAGCAGTTATGTACGGTCAGTTTGGATATTGGGTTCATCCCTCGTGAGATATGCACATCTACCTTCAGTCCCTACGGTCCCTCAGGTAGATATGCATATCTCCCTCTGGATAAACCCTATATCCAAAACCTCCCAGTACATAACCCTTATTTATTAGAGGAAATGAATGTGTATATACCATGTACAATTTATAAAATAATATTTTAGCCTTTGAAGTCATGTTATTTTGATAAACTTCTTGCTAATCAGGACCACTAATAAGTTCATGACCTGGACACATAATAAATTGATACAACTATTTCTTAAATGTTTTGTGACTCAAAAAAATTTCAAATACGTGGCAAAGTGATATTTGTTACAAGGAAGTGCCATTTGAACGATTTGTCAATAAAACACACAGGGCAATATTGGAAAAACAAAACAACAGTCCTCTATAAATCATATTAACTGTGCTTATGAAATTGTAAGTTAATAATTTCTTAAATGAACCATATTACATGCACTGGATTACTGCACTGCTCATTTTCTTCCTCATAACCAATGCATAGGAGAGGGTTTGGTAATATATCGGGTTATATTGTGTATATTGTTCTTTTTTCCAAATTTCATTCTAGATATAGTTATGAGTTAAAACTATTACATCATTTGTATTATATATGTTGACCTCCACTTCGTCATTTTCTGTTGTCATCAACTTATTATCAGAAGTTACATTCCCTTACTCTAAATAGAGCAGAGAGCCTTGATTGGCTTTCACAAGCTTCTCTGTTATATAAAGAGTGCAAGACAATCAGACATTTTAAAAAAGGGTAAAACTAATAAGAGACCTTCCTCAGATTAATCTTTCCTTGTTATGATGGATAACAAGGCGTCAAATCTTTTCCCAATTATATCATTACTATACTACTCCATTTACTGTCTTCCCTAGAGCTTAGATTTTAGTAGAGAAAATTTAGGACATCAATTACGGTTTGATTGATTGGCGCTCGTACAAAAGCACTGAGGCATAATGAGAAATAAAATGGTCGCATCACTGACTTGTTTACGCTGCTCAGAAACCTTAAGGGGCAAATTTTCCTCTTCTTATGTAAATATTTCCTCCTTTAGCCTTTTGCCCATTTGAATTATTATATAGTACAGTAAAGCTCGTCTGAGTGGAACACTTAGGTACCACTAAAAATGTTTCACTTGGGGGAGGTGTTCCACATTTGGAAGCTCATTTAACATCTAGTCAGTTGATCTTAGAACTCAGAAGAGTGTTCCACGATTGGAGGAGTTCCACTTCTAGAGGTGTTCAACAGAGGTTTCACTGTATTTCATTTGCATCAAGGATGACTGTAGGTCTTAACCCCTAAGGGGCGAGATCAATATTGCAATGTACACTGTGCACGAATCAACATTTTAACTTGTTAAAAGGGGGAGGGATGGAGGGAGTTAAGACCTAACCAAATTGATTATGTTTTTTGACGGACATTGAAGTATTGACCCAGCCCCTAATTCAATGACAGTGCAATTTCTAGTGATATCAATATGGCCCATGTGACAAAGTTCATTCTGTATTTCATTACCATTGTGATATAAAATTTCAATTTATACTTTGATCATTTGATAATTTTGTTTATGAGAACATAACCCTATTTCATTAACCCACTTTTCTTAGGGAAAGCTCGTTCAAGAAGAATATAACAAATCTATTTACGACTAATGGACATTCCACATTCATTGATTTCTACATTACTAGCTATATTCATTATTGTTCAATAGTTGGTAGTCTATTTCATTTTCAAAACACACCATATTTGCACATGACATCCTTAACCTTCTGCATGGTAACTTAATTCAGCAAATATATCCCACGCGACTGACTTATTTTTCAAAGAGTGCAAAAAATTATATGCCTGGACTAAATAATTAATATATCAATAACTACTGAATGAATCTGGATAAAATTTTCACAAAGAGAAGATACATTGGCCTGGCTCATGAAAAAATGTTCTCATGAATTTTTTACATAAATAAACAGGACTGGGCATAAATATACCATGAATACTCCTCTGGAATCTGCCGCTTCGCCCCTGTGGAGATTCAACGTCTGGTCAGAATCCAAAACTGAATGTGCAGCGATCGAATGTTCATTTTTCAGTTCAGAAAATATTCTAGTTTCTATTTTCGATGACCATTATCGGCTTCCAAGAGCCTAAAGAGCTCGAAATTGCGATCCATTTCCTCCACATGTTCGTTGTGATCGTATTTAGACGCCATTTTGTACGATTTGTTCACTAAAAACGACTTAAACACTGTTTAAATCGTTGAATTGAGAAATATTTTTCGAAACATCGCCATTTCTAGGTCAACAGGAAGTCCCCACGTAAGGACTAAATAAATC